TATTGAACTGTATATCCTCATTCAATGCACTAACTGTCATACAACGGTTTGTCTTTCACTACAGATATAATTCCACATCCTAGTGCATCTGTCATTGAAGTTAATCTTTTTCTTTAAGAGCACTCAAAACCAAAATAAAAGCACTTTGTCTCTCAAAGAGAATATTATAAATGTAATGATACCATTGAGTAGTTTTTCAAATCTCATCTCTTGTTAAGATGCCAATTTGAATTGCTTCATAATGTGCACAAAAAAGAAGCCTGTTCAATTTGTGGCAACAGGAGACTATCTTCCCTTTTCCCTTAATTCGTTCTTCCTGCGCTATCTCCTGGCTGTAGGAAGAAACTCCTTAGTTTCTCCTATACCATTTCTGGACAACTACCAGCAGAGGCTCAAGATTTGTCATTTTTCCATTCCTTCTACCAGAAAGATGGCAGGTCAGTGCTTGGTATCTCCCTACATGATGCATTTGAAGTTGATAACTCAGTGAAAATAGCAGTGCAGATTGACCTAAAGCCACTTCTTGCCTTTCTGACATCACATTGTAATGACAATGACCAACCATCACCATTACATTTCCCACAGAATATTCAGCATTGACTGAGATTAACCGTTACAGAGTCATAGAGTCATGTTGATATACAGCATGGAAACAGACCATTCGGTCAAACTCGTCCATGACAAACTGGTATCTGATATAAGTCTAGTTCCGATTGCCAGCATTTAGCCCATATCCCTCTAAACCCTTCCTATTTAACTACTCAACCAGATGCCTTTTCAATATTGTAATTGCACCAGCCTCCACCACTTCCCCTGGCAGCTCATTTCATACACACACCACCCTCTGTGTGAAAAAGTTACCCCTTAGTTCCCTTTTATATCTTTCCCCTCACACCTTAAACCTATGCCCTCAAGTTTTACAGTCCCCTACCCTGGGGAAAAGACTTTGTCTATTTACCCTATCAATGCCCCTCATGATTTCATAAACCTCTATAAGGTCACCCTTCAACATCCGATGCTCCAGGGAAAATAGCTCCAGCCTACGCAGCCTCTCCCTGTAGCTTAAACTCTCCAACCCTGGCAACAACCTTGTAAATCATTTCTGATCCCTTTCAACTTTTACGAAATCCTTCCTATAGCAGGGAGACCAAAATTGCACGCACCATTCCAAAAGTGGCCTTACCAATGTCCTGTACAGCTGCAACATGACCTCCCAACTCCTATACTGAATGCACTGACCAATAAAGGCAAGCGTACCAAACGCCTTCTTCACTATCCTATCTTATGTAATAAATTCTATTTGTATTTGAAACATGCCTTTCACATGGACACATTGACATGCTTTGAATGCAGTGAATGTTGTTATGTAGACATTTAGTATTCTGTTTCAGCAGCCTACATAGTGAATCGTTACTTTTAAATTGACAGTGGTTGAGGGCACTAAGAGAACCTATATCTTCTTCAAATAATTTATTGCGACCATTGGTAATTTTCATTTGTTTTTCTCTGATTTGGCACTGGAACTTGCAGTAGAGAATTGAAATTTGAACTTTGAATAGCACCTTGTTTTTTTAACAGAAGAAAGAACAAAAGACATGTTTGCTGTTGAAAGCTTGCCTGAGAAGATAATGCAGACTAATTGCTGCTCAGTAGCGGAATGTTTCTGTGCTTAGGGACTGGCAGTTAGTTGAATGTTGAATTGGTCAGTCAAGGAGGAATGGTGCTGATCAGCCAACCACAGAGAATGTTGAGAGAAAAGAGAAAACAGAAGTGTGAACTGGCTCTGACTGGATTTTCAACAGGAGGCAATTTTGTTTGGGAGCTTTGGGATTGGATTATGTGTTTGATTTTTCTCTCTCTAGTTATTTTCCAGTAATTGACTTGATGAAAGTTCTGTTAAAAGAATCCCCGACGTAAGAAATAAGTAAACGTCTCCAAAGATCTGCAAATGCTGTTTACATTGACCGGTGATTTTGGAATTCAAGCAGTCCTGTGTGCCCGTAATATAACCCATTCTCCCTGGTTTTCATGAAGGCCTTGTATTCATTGTTGAAATAGTTATTGAACTGGAGAAGTATAATTCTTTCATTTACTTTTTAAAAATTTATCCATTAAATGTGTCTGTTTGTCTGTGCCTGTGATTCGTGATTGGCAGTTTATAATCAAAGAAAATTTGACTTAGATCATTGATATTTAATAGATTACCTTTTAGCTTATCTGTGTTCTGCGAAAATTACGCTCTTAACAATAATTTTCTTTTGTTTAAGCTCTAAATTTGGTGCCTAAGATCGGTTATTTGTAAAGTCTGGTTGTCCAGAGACAGGATATTCTGTATGGTGAGGATTCCTACACTTCTACACAATGAATCAGCTGGGAATCAGCTATTGATAGTGGCTGCCCCATAGTCATTTTGCACCGCAACGTGATTTGATTGGCTGGAGACAGACATTATGATGATAAGTTAGAATCCCTAAATGTCAGGAAAAATTCTAGCCCTTAAATCCAAACTTTTTTTTTCAATAGAGGACTGCTGTAGAGACAAAGTGGCTGCAGATATAAATTCAGTGGTTGGCTGGCAAAAGTTGTGTATAAGATTGATAGAATGTGACACCTAAGGTGTCAAACAAGCTTTGAGCAGAGAGAGAGAAAGAGTGAGAGACTTGAGATAACGAAAGTGTTGACTATCTACTGCCACCCCCATCCACCTCCATTTCTCTCTCCACCCACCTCCCTGAGACAGCAGACAGTCTCTTTGTTATCCCTTTCTAGGAATATACAGAAAAGATGTTAAAAGGACAGCTTTAACACTAGTCTGTCTATTATTACTAGGCTGTTGTGGACTAGTATTCTGTGTGTCTAGTATACTGTGGAAGTCGCAGCTTGAGAACAGCCAGTAAGCAACCCTGCACTGCAAATAAAGAAAAGACTGAATCTCTTTCACTTTTATTTTTTTTAATTCATTTTGTCGGATGTGGGCGTTGCTGTCTGGCCAGCATTTATTGCCCATCCCTAGTTGCCCTTCAGAAAGTGGTAGTGAGCTGCCTTCTTGAACTGCTGCCATCCACTTACTGTGGGTTGACCCACAATGCCATTAGGGAGGGATTTTGACCCAGCGACAATGAAGGAGCAGCAATATATTGCCAAGTCAGGATAGTGAGTGGCTTGGAGGGGAATTTGAAGGTGGTGGTGTTCCTATATATCTGCTTTGCTTGTCCTTCTAGATGGAAGTGGTCATGGGTTTGGAAGATGCTGTCTGAGGATCTTTGGTGAATTGTAAATCAACAAAAAGAAAAAGGGGGGGATTAGATCAACAGAACTTCAATCAGCCTACAAAATCAGAAGGGTCCCGACCGAAATGTCAGCTTTCCTGTTTCTCTGACGCTGCCTGGCCTGCTGTGTTCCTTCAGCTCTATGCTTTGTTATATCTGAGTTGAAAATCAACTATTCATCTGCCAATGTCACCACTACCAGTGCAACCCAATAATGGCTGAGTCAGTATCTTGCCTGTGTTCATGAACAATTCAGAGAATGATCCATGTAGCCTTCCTTTCCTTTAATCTATTTGGATGCACTACTTATTTCTAATCTGTGTATGTTCATTGTATAAGTATTTCCTCTTGTACGTAGGAATGAATAAACTCTCTTTTTGTTAACTTGTAAACATTTAATTGTTAATATCTTGAGGTATCCTGCCTGGAACCATAATGAACATCACCAGGGCTCTGGCCGAAGTACTGGGCTTCTGCCCCTCACTCAGGAGGATGTCAAATCTCAGAATTCTGCCCGCTGACCTGATTGGCCACTAGCTCTATAGTTCTAGCAACACCAATGGCACAGTGGCCATGACAGGAACTGCAAGAGATTCCACCTTCAAAGTTTTGGAGTCTAGGACCTGGTAGATGCGGGTAGACCTATGGTGGGCTGGGGAGGTAAAGACTATTGGGTGTTTAGAAAGGGAGGAGTTTCTTATTGGGGAGGCTGGCCGATGTATGGAGGTCATGACAGAACCTGTAATGCAAAGTTTGTGGGATGTTGGCGTGGAGCGAAGAGGTGTCTGTTGTGGGAAACAAGTCTTTGAAGTAGGTGACTCAAGGCCCAAGCACAGTGACTTTTCAGGCATCCCCCTCTCTGTCCTGACCTCTCCTTGATGGCCTAAAGAATGATGCTGAGTGGGAAAGGACTTTCAGTGGTCATTAGTCATCCTCTTAACTGCCTCAAAAGGGGAAGCAAAGACAGTTGTTCAATCTCGGCTTCACCTGCCCTACTGTAAAATTAGAGGTAGGTAAAGATAGTTGGACCTGGACATAGATTGAAGGAACTTCTGCAGGGATATACTGGGGTTGACCAGCTAGAAATATATCATCCACATTTCCCAAATCTTGAAAAAATTAGAAGATAATATCATTGAAGCAAGGGAGGTTGTGTGTTATTTGATTCCAGTTTTTAGTGTGGGCTAAACAGTTACCTTACATTGCTATAGTTCCATTCTAATCTGACCCTGAATATTACTGGTTCCTCATTTCTAATTGAGGTATATTTGTGCCATGTAATTCCTCATATTGTGAAAAGCAAGACTACAGAGCTGTGTTATACATATGAGTGAGTGCAAGATGTAAAATCAGAGTTGTACATACAAAAGCAACAGACATGTTAAAGTACTAATGTAGGTTTCTGTGAACACATAAACCATCTAAGTCAAAATCTAAGCCAGAAGAGGGCAAATATATTTGAACAGCCAATCACAGATGCTCCATTTAAAATGTCATTTCATGGAAAGAACACTACTAAAAAATGAATAACGTAGGTTGAATGTTTGAACCTATGTTTTAGAGATGTTGTCACTTATCGTTTATTATTGCACATCTTCTTTGTACAACTATATATCCTTGATATCACATGGAGACTAGAGCTGTGCACAATATTTTGCCTTTCTAAAGTTCCATTCAATTTTAACATATATTCTCTGTTATTCCTCTAGAAACAAACTTAGGAGCTGTGGCAGTCGGTTGGCTCAGCTGGGTAGACCTTGGTGCTAATAATGCCAAGGTCATGGGTTCAATCCCCATACTGACCAAGTGTGTTGGATCCTTGCTGCTAGTTGCATGCGTGGTGTCCTGATTAGAGACTTGTGATGCAGTCTCTGCTTTGGGGCAGCATGGTGGCTCAGTGGTTAGCACTGCTGCCTCATAGCGCCAGGGACCCAGGTTCAATTCCAGCCTTGTCTATGTGGAGCTTGCACATTCTCCCCATGTCTGCGTGAGTTTCTTCCGGGTCCTCCAGTTTCCTCCCACAGTCCAAAGATACGCAGGGTAGGTGGATTGGCCATGCTAAGATTGCTTATGGTGCCCCAGGATGTTTAGGTTGGGTGGGTTAGACATGAGGAAATGCAGCATTAGGGGAATGGGAATGGGTCTGGGTGGGATGCTCTTCAGAGGGGCAGTGTGGACCTGTTGGGCCAAAATGGCCTGTCCCCACTCTGTAGTGATTCTATTCTATTCTATGAGCTTGGCTTGTTTAATTTGAATGACCTTATCAATCTATTTCTCTCTGTTAAGTGATTAGCGACAGATAGATACTGAATTGCTAGGTAGCATTTGTTCCCGAGCCACATAGCCTAGCCATATAAGATTCAGCCAGTGTTCTGGCATGCTATTTGAAGAATATCTTCAAATATTCAAAGGCTCAATATTTCTATGCTTCTCCTGAACAAACAACAGTGGGTTCAGCGACAAAATGCTTAGGTCAATTAGTCTTTGGTATTTTCTCTTTCCCATACCATCCAAGCTTTTCCTCCTGTGTGTATCACACTGATCATTATATTTGCTGCATATTAGGTATATCAGGGAATGGTCCTGAAACAGTTAATGTCAAAAGTTTTGTTCGGCTCCATCAAATCTGGTGATGATTTGGATGGAGAAATGGACAGTCTACCAAGAGGTTCCAATGGAGATAATGTACCATCTCTAGGCCCTGATTATTTATTTAATTAAGCCTAACTAGTTAATGTAAATTGTACCTTTTGCTATCAAACAATAAACTGCACCTTGTTATGTGAGACAAGTGCCTCTTCTTGTTAAGACTCCTCCTGTTTTATTCTCTGCCACTGATAATTAGACAGCCTCTTTGATTTTCATAGAAAGGATAGGTGGTAGTGAACTACCTAGCTGCAAGTGGTTGGTATCCAGAGCACAATAGCCAGAAACAAGCATTAATAATATAACTTTTCAAAAGAACATGTGCATTAGTTAAATTTTAGGAGCAGTGGCATTTGTACACATCATGTCACTGAGTTTCAATAAGCATTTTCATTTCATAAACATTTCTACAAAAACAAGAACTGTTTTCAAGGGAACTTTGTATAGTGAAATTGTCCTTCAAAGCATTGTTTGCATCAAGGTATTGGTATTAACTCTCATTTTATTTACTTCAAAAGGTAAATTATTAATTCAATGTCAGTGTTTTTGAAGAAAGATCCTGCATTTGCGTAGCATTTTATCACATACTCAGGAAAGCTCAAAGTGCTGCCCTGTCAATGAATTACATTTCAAGTGCGGTTATTGTTCAAGTCCATTTACATTGCTCCAAAAGATTAATCTCTCAGTACTTCAATGTCAATGGCACATCTTTCAGTTCAAACGTTCAACCAATTCTATGTCTGCCATCTGAAAGCAAGCAAATGGCAGTACTGTGGTTGAGAAAATCAAGAGCAACTTGCACCTTCTTTTGCTTCTAAATTAAAGGAAATTGTCAGTCAGAGTGGGTGTGGAGATGATGGTATGGTGGGAGCGAGACAAAAAAGGATGTTTAGCTATGAGGCTACAGTCAACAATTCTCTGTTAACTTTTAGGAAATGAGGCCTCTACATGGTCTGTCGAGGAAAAATGTTCAGTGTGCATTACTCTTCTTTGATTAGAGGAATAAAGAAATCTTGTAAAAATTGTGCAATGTTTTGCTGGGACCGCATTTGGAATACTGTGAGTAGTTTTTGTAGTGATTGTAATGAGGTCAACTGGGTGGACCTCAAAGAATGAGTTCCCTGATTGGACCAGATTAACAGCCTCAATCAGGGAGCTCTGGCCAACAGATAACAACAGGAGTTGTCATACATCCTGAGATAACAAGGTGCAGAGCTGGATGAACACAGCAGGCCAAGCAGCATCAG